CATCAGAAAATCCTAGCATTCTTTTTTCACGATCCACCACCTGTCGAATGAGCAGTATCTCTCAGGATCTGCTTTGCTTATTTGAAGACAGAGAGTCCAGAGGCCACAGCTCCACAAGGAGGGAGTTTCGTGTTTGTTGATCACAAGATCTTCTTTGTCACCGAGAGCCCCGCGGCTTCTTCGATTGCCAACCCACCACCACCCATACGATGTCCGGTCATGACCTCGAACCTGCCCTTGCAACCACACAAGGCAGTGAGCTGAAGACTGATGACTCGAGACATTCTCGAGGCTCGGGGTTTCCCAATCTGAAAATGGTGGTTAGACCTGAAAACATCTAACAGAGGGGAAGCCGAGACGGGGGTTAAGCAATGCGCTGTCTCGGGGGAACTCACCTGACTCTGGAGCTGACAGCGTTATCTCCGGGCCCTCGATTGCATAGATGAGTACTGACCCCACCCGCCTATCGATCCCGAAAAGCAGGTGGTCCATCATGCGGCTCGCGTCCTCGTTGTCGTTCATCGGGGTAGTTCCGCCGGCTGCAAGCACAATACATGAGTACGAGCCCCGTGATCTTAGGTAATGATGCATCGGCGGCTTGAGAGAGGACCTACACGTTGTGTCAGCAGCGCAGGTGGTGGTTGTAACTTGGTGACCTCCGTTGCTTGCGCTCAGTTGTTAGATTCGAGATTGTGGATGAACTAGATTTCGATACTGGCTACTTTTCATTCCCTCCCTTCTTATAGACGAAGCACAATCATCCAAAAGCTCTCCAACTGGGTTCCTGCCCTCTTGCGGTATCTCGTGCAGATGCACTCCCGGTCATGTTTTGCTTTTCCCATCGCCGATGCGCTGCCACCGCGATGTATGTACCATCGGCCCCATAGCTAGGTACCTATCGCTGCGAACCGTCGACCGTTCGGAATCGACCCGCAGCGAGTACTCCAGGTTCTTTTCTTGACGCTAACTTAAACGGGGAATAACTTACGCACTTCCGGCCCGGGGTTAACGGCGAGGGGAACCCGGGAGGAATCGTGGGGGTCTAAAAGTCATCCATGAGGGGGGAAAGCACGGAGGTTATGAATGGTGGTGAGCCGAGCTCGGGTGAAAGGTTTTTAGGGCCAACCAAGAACTTTGATTCGGCAGGGGTATCCCATAATCTAGAGAGGTACATACTTATGTATTCATCTCGATGCTCTAAGCTTCCGAGGTTCATGAGACCAGGCCCCAAAGGGGCAACTATCGACCGGAAGCACCGGCTCACAGCCGGTTTGTGAATTGAATCGGCACGATCGAATCCAGTGCCGTGGGTTCGGGGCTTTTGGTTGACGAAGCTTAGGCGGGCGAAGCCATGCCCAGGTGGGCATGCCGCATCCCTAACGGCCCGGCCGAGCCTCAGGGGCTTGGGTTGGAGGTGACGCCTCATAAGTACTTCATACTTCCCCAAGCAGATTGGCGTCTTCTTTATCTCTTCTTTTACCCGCTGTGACTCTTCGCGGAAGATGTCGGCTGGAGTTCACTGTCCCCTGCCAGCCCCGTGCCGATCGTTCTCAAAAGACCAAGGCCCCCATTGATTCGACCATGGTTCCGAGTTCAGCTCTGTGCCAGGTTGTCGGAAGATTTTTTTGCAGCCGCTTGGCGGGCCGATCTCAGAGAGCCGACACTCGGCTTGGTTCCCGGGTGTCTGTTGAAAGCGGTAAACCCTGCGGATTTAATTTAATTGAACAGATAGAAAGCGAGGTACAAAAGAAATAAATCTAGAGTCTTACTGAATAATAAAAAAATCTCATGCAAATGCAATGCAAAGGGGTGTACCTGGGATGTTCTTGGTGGGTTGTTGCTTGTTGGCATGTCTCGGCTCTCTCGGTTGCCCGGCCATGCGTGCTCAAGGGCTCATGATTCTTGTCGGATGCCCGTTCCCTTGCGCAGCCCTACACAGGACGGCCCAGGCCAGCGGTCGGCCAATAGAAAGACAACAAACCGCACACACCGAGCAAGAAGGAAACGCGACTGCCGACTCAAATGTTTTGGCGCCGAGTGGCCGAAGCCAAGCCTTCATGTCTGGTTGCCTCCTCCCTGAAGCCGGGCATCCCTTCCACTCGCGACCCGTTTTAGACATTTAGCTCCCGGCATCCATTACTCTTTGGGAGGTAACAGTTGCCTGCGGCGAGCCGACTGACTCCTGTGTCTTTTACCTAGTCTCCTTCCTTTTGCTTCGGTCCATTCTCTTGCCCGTTACGGGCCCTCGAGTCTTCCAATTCTTTGGAAACGGCAACTGCCGGCTTTTCTTCGCGTTTTCCCGACTGTTGATTGCCGCGTTGCCCAGAACTCGACACCTATTGATCGATAGACGGTTTCCGTGACTCGCCACGCCCGGTTTACGATTGAGGCAGCCACCTGTTTATTCACTGATAATGGATCAGTAATGTTCGAAAGTTGGTTATTCTTCCGTATTTTTATTCCCTCCCAACGCCGCAGGGCAACTGTCAACTGTTGGCTAACTTTGCGTTGTGCAATGAAAAGCTAGGGCTAAGTGCGGGCCCCTATAAATCCTTCTCAAAGGACTCGTGTCGACAGCACCAAATTAGCTTCTCACCAGATATCGGCGTCAACGCACGCCGCGAATGACTTCACCTTTGCTCGTTAACCCTCGCCGCTAAGTCGAGGCGTTGGCAACATGAGCTTCAACTAGCTCCAAGGGCGCTCGTCGACTCGTCCATGAATGTACCTCCCCTCCGGGCCTGTCGCTGTTCGTGCATCAACAATATGCCTGGCTGGGTGGATACCGGGATAGGCTGCGATACCTTCGTCCATGCTACACATATACGATGCCGACCTTTTCTTCTTATTGTTAGAACATGACCGGGTGGATGCCAATCACACATCAAGACGGCTAACGGCCGATTTGTTCTTCGCTGGCATGGCAAGCGAATCCCCACCACCCCAGGTGGCTGCGCATGTCGTATGGCATACGAAGCCTGCTGCGCCGACGCCTTTCTCTATCGATATTCGAAGAGGAAACTCACAGCTACTAGTTTGCGGCTTGTTCAAGCAAGGATGCAGCATGGTCACGCCTTCTTCCGGCAGCGATTAACGGTCAGATAAACGAGACAGCTCAGCCTTCGCCCTTCGGTTTGGCATCTTCAACAGGCTCACCGTCCTTCGCTTGCGTCCTTTACCTGCGTACCTTACATCAGGTGAGGGTTGCCAGCCAGACTCAGGGGCCAGGCCGTCAAATGCGATCGCAAGCTCGTCTGAGTGTACGGGCAATCGATCCAAATCCGCACGCTCCACATGGACCACATCATGCGAACTCAGCTGCCGGGGTTGGCAAATCCCTGCGTAAGTAAGCAGATGCCGGCCACCCTCGTGCCTTGACGGGCATACTTTGCGGGAACTGTGATGCAATTCATAAATTAACCGGCGACCAGACCTCAAAGCCTATCAACGACGCCGAGCGTTCAAGCAGCTAATAAGCCGCGAGTTTCGATTTGGGGCGACGTAAATCCGTGTCGACAACTTCAAAGCGGACAGCTGGCAAACCGAGTGGCGCCTCGCACACTATATACGTCGCATTCCCCCAACCAATCCCTTGAGCGCCGCTACTGTTCCTTCTGCATTCCCAGATCCCCATCTTTGGACGACATGTCGTTCCGCAAGAACGGCGATCGCCGTCAGCCCCATACTTTCGGAGTTCCATCGCCCACCCCTGCCGCATGATGGGGATGGGTGGATGCATCTCGCAAGGGTTTGGCTGCCTATCCCATTGGTTGACGGCGGGCATCCAGCATCGGGGGCTAACTGGAGCTGCGAGCGGGACGTTGCGCAATATTCTGTGGCTCTCGCCATCTTGGCGGTATCGGACGCTTGCATTGGGGGAGACCAACGCTCGGCTGGAGTGACTTGTCACAATCGAAGCGAGCCGCCACCCCTAGGCTCCGGAAGAAGCATCAAGAGGGTTCGGGGAACCTGCCGAACGGGCTTAAGGCCCGGGCACCATTCCTGATGAAGACAGTGCACTGCATTGAAACGTCGAGGTGGGCCCGAATCTCAGCCGTTACAGTCTATGAGGAGTAAGTTTGGGCCTGGCTGCGTACGGTACATACAGATGCATCCACACTTTCCTCGACACAGCAAGATGTGTTCGTGCAAATCATCCAGGGGTCATATGGGTATTCGTACAGTTTCCCTTAGGAGTCGACCAGTCAGGGTGACAGTGAGGATGAATCCCCAACGTTGGTCCACCAAGATCGCTCACGGGGTTAAGCGTAATGCGTGGCAGGGGAGGCGAGAAGTGTCATTCATAGGTATGCAGATGCGCCTGGGCAGCCTCAAACTTGCCGGGGGGCCGGCCGATGCGCCCATGCACTCTTGCGCAGAAGTTGATGGCCTATTCCCGGCGTGCTCGCAGCGTGAAAGCCGCTCGGTTGTTCTATATAATCGGCTGCCAAATCCCTGCCTTTTAGACTTTCTGTTCTAACTCCTTCTTGGGTCTCAAGGTTGGTTATTTGCGACTCCTTTTAATGCGTGGGGCAGCATCCCCTGTCGGCCTGTCCTGACTCTTGCACGACCAGCCCGTGCTCGTTGTGTGCGCAAGGGGGGCCACTTTATGAGAGGGAATGTGATTACGAAGTACTTGCTTTCACCTGCGGGCAACAGCGCTGTGTTCCAGGTCGGTCGAGCGCACCGCTTTAGTTGGACTCAGACTTCCGCCCACCAGCGTACCTAATAATTTTTTTTCTTCATTTCTTTTATACAATATCCACGATGAATCTGGGGCGAGCACTGGGGATTCGGTTTCATAAACAACGCTTACCCATCTGCCTTTTACATACGACCATATCCACAAGAGAACTCGGGATCCCGTCCGCTCTCCCCTCGATAAACTTGTGAGAGCCGAACTAGTACTCAGGTCGGTGACGACTGGGGAATCCTCGGTGTTGTATGTATTTTTGCACCTCTCTGTAGAGCAGCGACCTCACCTTCATAAACGATACTACCTCACACTGCTGTTACATACGACCATATCCACGAGAAAGCACGGGATCCCGTCCGCTCTCCCCTAGTTAACCTCGTGAGAGCCGGATCAGTAGTTGGGTCGGTGACGACCAGCGAATCCCCGGTGTTGTATGTTTTTGCTTCATTCCTTTTTCCATCTCCATTTCAACTTGACCGTACGCTTTTCCGATTGCTGGCGATGGAGTTTTTCTTGATCGCAGCGCGTCAAAGAACTCGTCCTTCAAAGGAGCGGCTAATGAGGAGCAAGAAGGCATCTCACCTCCACCAAGGTGGGTATTTTACATGCAGATGCATGCAGCACGCATGTGCCCCCCCGTTGACTGCAATCCCAATCGGACACCATGATAATAAATCCGCCGTATGATCTAAACAACTCTCCTTTGCCTTTGTCACTCACGCCCCCTAATACCACAGCTCACGACTCTGCGGCAAAATGGCTACGCTGACGCCAGCGCAATTGCGCCTTCGGGGACAGTTGTACAATTGAAGGCCAAAGAGTACCCCATCCTGTTCGCAGGCGGGATCAGGCCATCGGAATGGCCCGACCAACACAGGAGGGCGCTGGAGCAAGTTTGTGATCTCGGCAATCACAAACCTTGGCGAGCATAGATGAGTCAGGATCAGAGGGAGTTGTTGGCGGCAGTCTGGCCCTGACCCAAATCGCCACTCGCACGACAGGAACGGATCCGGCACTGAGGGTTTGACTCCCCGGAGAGGCTCATCCAGTGGATTTCACCGATCAGCCTTTTTCGTCGGGCCCCAAACCAGAAGAGGGAATTGGAAAACTGGAATAGCCCAGGTTCCCCTCCTTCATCTTCTCTCCCCAACCATTGAGGCCTTCAGGCGGGGAGCACTGGAGCCTTCCGGGTCCTCATGCGCCCCGGGTGGTCACTCTGTTACCCTGCGATACTGGGCCGATGGTCTTTCAGCCCCTTCCGGGTCATCTTGTGCCCAGCCTTTCGGAAGAGCCGCAAGAGTCGTTAAGGGGCCAGCCAGCGCCCTTCCTCTTCACCATCCCCCGTGCCACCCCGACGTGTCGGAATTAGGGCGCGCCGCATTGTCGGTCTGGGGCAGCGCAGTGCCCACTTGGTTGGCTCGCTCGCCATGAGTGATCACTCAGTCGGCCTGTCACTTCCGTCGTTCTCACCGTCATTGAGATGCGCTGGCATGAGGCGCTAATACATGTGGTGAACATGGCTACTCCTGGTCAAATCACAACATTATTGCCCACCATTTCCGTTCTTTGCATCGTGCAGAGAGGAGACTTGAATACGAGGACAAAAGGCCTGTTCTAGGTGGGGGTGAAGCCATTCCGCCAGTCGGATCATGCCCTGGCGGTGGCGCTCTTCGGAAGAAACAAGTTTATCTACCCAGGTACTTTTGCTCTCCTCGCGCAAGACTCAGGTCCCAGCCATTTTACAGAATCCACGTGTCCGAAAATAGCGATCCCACCCCCCTCTCATTCGCGGGCAGCTGGGACCAGATAGCTGCAGCTCCACGACGAGTTGGTATCCGAGTCCTCTCCGTTGAAGTCAGAGTTTTCTCGGCTGCCGATCCAGTCGTGGTCCGACTGGTGATGCACCCCTAATGGGGACCACGGGTCGGGATAAGCTGAAAACCAATTCCAGCTGTTCTCACGGCCTAGGACCGTCCAGGCTGATGACGATTGTCAGATAAGGTGGGAGAGGGTGTAGGCGGATCTTGTCTCAGAACTTACCTAACAATGCTGGAGTTGGGAGCATTATCTCGCAATCATCGGTGGCAACAATTTGCACCCCTTGTTCCCATGAACCGATTCCGAGAAAGGACGCGCTGTCCATGGTGCGAATTGTTGAGTGATCCTCCCTAGCTGTGAACACCATAACAGTTGAGTACGGGCCTTGTGGCTTCAATCACCGAAGACAAATGAGGGGACTTACACATCTTGCTGACACAGATGGTGATGGTGATCTCTAAGGTTGCTGTTCTTGCGAGTTGCCGTCGCCGGAGTTGCGAATGAAAAGGATAGCGACAAGAACCATCATTCAGTCCTCTCACCTCTTTATAGACGACGGTTCGACTCTTGCCGCCGAAAAAGATCAGCTGCGTCATTCCGGACCTGACTGCAGATTCTCTGATGCAGCACCAGTTGCTTTTGATGCCATTGTGATTGTCACGACAATCGGGTTCATGTGCTGTACAGTAACATTACCGGGCAACTGCAGGAGGTACCTACCTGGATTGGGTATTATGGCATATACATAACCGACAGCGAGACGAGGAGACGCGAATAGTTTCAGTAATACCAACAAGACTTCCATCAACTCTTGGCATAACGGTTAACCTTTGGTCCCCCATGTCAAGCGAGTGGCAAACCAGGGGCCCTGGGAACAAGAAAAGGATTCATGGTCGGAGAGAAAAGAAAGGGACCTCCAGTGATGCGGAACTAGCATCCGAAAGCTTGCTTCCCCGGGGTGCTTGCAGCGGCGTATCTGAAGCTTGTGCTCGGCAGTGGAAAAACTGACATATCACATTTCAAGCTAGCAAGCCACATTTCTGCAAGAAACAAGCCAGCTGGCTGAACAACACCAGGGCCACGGTATGATCAAAGATACCGGGAAATAAATGCTGAGCCCGCTGGCATGGGCATGGGATCAAGGAATTGGATGCGACAAGCCAAGAGACCGGCGAAGCAGGCCAGTGGAGTTGAATGGATGACAACTTGACAATCGAAGTCGACAACTGCCCGTCATTCCAGGCCTCTTCCGGAGAACGGCCCCGATCCGCGGCGCCCGAGGCGCACCTCCTTGTCCCTTGGCTCCCGCGTCGATCATGTTAAAACGCCCAAGCCAGGCTGACTGGTCTGAGCTAAGTTTGGCTATTCGCCGCTGTACGCTACCTGCATACCCGGTGGCCCGAGGTGAAGCCAAGGATCCGAAAACAGCCGTCTCTACCGAAAGAGGAAAACTTTACCAGGTGAAGGGAAGAAAAAGCGGCCAAAAAGAAATTCACCGAAATGAAAAGAGACGGAGAACCGGGGGCGGCTGAAGCCGCCCCGGGATGGTGGGAGGCGGGGATGCGGACCACACCTTAGCTATGGGGGCGCGAAGTGGTCCAGATCAGGATGCCACCTTGTTTGGGTAACATTGGATGTATTGCAATGCCCTCGTGTCTCACTTAAGCTGCAGAGTTTGATTTGGTTGGGCCTGAATGGGGAGTAGGGGAGATCTGAATGTATCATGTCTCTTCTGTTTGGCGGCAGCCTCGCGGCGTGGTCGATTCAGGGGGAGCGTTCATAGCCAATGGCAACACACCCAAGTCTGGGGCCGCAAACCGAGGAGCCGGGATGGGCGTGACACAGGAAGAAACAAATGGAAAAACGGTTGTTCAGTGTTCTGGCGCTGAAGTCTGAAGCCCTGAACCTCGAAGCCCTGAAGTCTCTTCACCCATCATCCTTTGAGGCCGCCGACTGGTGAATGCGGTGAGCCCCCGATGGCCGATGACTTGCGTCCCCTTTCCCACGTCCGTGTGACTTTGCTATTTTTCAGACACCGCGACTCACCCAGTCTTCCTCGAATCCCGAGGCTCCTCCGACGCGCCATTGCCCAAAATCCCAACGCCCGTTGAGCCGCGTTGATTGTGGATGTCGTGTAGCAATGGGAATGGATCCGTCTTACGACTCCCGAGCTTACGGACGCGTCGGGATTTTGTTTATCGTCGGATGAGAGTGGACTGTGGATGCTGGCCCTTCGGTTCGTGCCTCGTCGTCTTTCTCCGTCGCCACCTGTTCCCAGTCGGCGGCGAGTCCTCATAGGAGTTTGCTAACTTTCGGTTTCTTCGACAGAACATTAAGTCAGTATTGCAGAGTGCCTGCCGCCCCCTTTCTGCCGAGACCACAGGGGCAGCACTGGATTCGCTTCCCACTGGGTATATCGTTGACGCACGCTTCCGAACATCCCCTAAATTCCCGACAACGCGACCTTCAATCAGCAACGCCCGACAGGCGTTCACTCATTCTTGAGCCGCCCTCCGTCCGCCCTACTTTATATCTTCGTTGTCTATGTGGGATCGAATGCTTCTCGACCCATCCTCATCTGCGGGTTCGCGATTCACCTGGCCACTTAGAGCAGTGTACCAAAAATACCTCAACTTCATTCACGCTTGTCGCACTTATGCCCGTCGACGTGTGTGCCGTCGGAACAGCATGAACGACATCCACCCCCTAAAAACTGCTACACTGGGCGTGGAAGGAGTTCGTCAAGCCGGGATTACAATATCACTGCTAGTCAACTCAGGATTTTACAATCACATTGCTATTGCCGGCAATGACCTTGCTGGTGTTTGGGTTTGGCTACACAACAGTGCACCGTGGAAGACGGTTGCCATCGTCGAGCAGGCAGTCGGGCTCATCTGTCTTGGGCTTTTGTTGGTGAGGATAACATACGAACTCCCGTTCTCGACCTGCGCATGGCATATACATGTAGCTAGTGGGGACGCTCCTCACCTTGTCGACACTGAAACTCGAAGAGCGAACTCGCAGATACCCGGTTAATTAAGCATGCCTCCTTGGAACACTAATCAGGACTTCGGCCGTCTGTTTGACACTCTTACCAGCCTAGGCTTTCACTTTACTCGCTCTCCTGACTCCTGATCGAGCTCAGTTGAGAGACTATCAAAGCTGGCGCTCAGCTGATCCGGTATACCTACACAAGAGCAGCACTTTGCTACCTAGGTTGGCTCAGCAGCAAGAGTTAGCACGCCCTCGCCTTACATGTGGCTTGAGCTACCGGGGTCAGCAATCTCGGCTTCAGTAATTGGATGACGCCTCTCTCCCCTCCGCCATCCAGCTTTCTACTTTGCTGCGAAGAGTCGGAGGCAATCAAATGGCATTAATCACACGGTGGTCAGACAACCAGACCTCTCACTATCGAGCCTACCAGCTGCCAAACGTAATATTTGAGACGAAGCAACGCATATGTCACATGTGCCACGTCCCCGCCTCACCCTCTCAAGGCCCGTCCTCCTACTCCTTGCGTACCGTCTCTGCTCTCTCCTCAATCTGTTCCTCAACTTCTCTCGCCTCTCCAGATACCCTGTCGTCCCGCAAAACGCCATCGGCCGGACGTTCCATACGGGAGCTTCATCGCTAACCCAGCCATACCGTTGAAGGGTAGTGGATGCATCATGCGTCTCGCAAGGGGTTGGTAGCCTATCTCATTAGCCGGTGCCCGGCATCATGGCGCTGGGCTGGGCGGGACGCTGCGCGATGCGATGCACCAGGTCCCGTGGCTCTCGTTAGTTGCTTGAAAAAAGCAAGTATGAAAGGGGGAAGCTGCCGCATCCCGGCCCCATCCGTGCGGGGAGAAAAGTGTGCTACTGTCTGTGTTGAACCTGGGTTGAGGTAAGCTCGAACCGCTCCATTGACTGCTAGTGTTTTGAGAAAAAAGCTCGAGTGTGGATGTGAGTAGATGCATACACATTTCCCTCTGTTGGATTCTACATAGGTACTTTCGTGCAGATTATTCAGGGTCATCATGTTGGTATTCGTAAGGTACCTACATACCCATTTGACAGTTTCCCCGTCATATCCCCTCGTCATTTCTACCCCTTCTTAGCTCCAGGCGGCCCTGGTCTCGGCAGCCTCGATATCCCCGTGGTTTATTAGTTACCTGTTAGTCGTTTATGTGTGGAACCCAAGTGGCACAATGTCTTCTTCCGAGCGGGCCAGGCGAACAACGAGCGAGAATAGGTAGGTAGGTAGTTCCTGGACCCCCCCATCAAAGAAGCTTTCACGGACGGGCCCTCATAGGCGTATATCTCGGTGTTCAAGATGCGGCACACTTCCTTTACAACGACAAATACCTATTAAGAGAGCCAAGGGTGTTTCCAAGGGGGGTCCACGACCGGCTCCCATTCCGGCTCCCATTCCAGCTCCGTGGCAGCCAGGCACCTCCCACAACCTCGCGCCTACCTACCTATCTACAAACAACACGCGACCCCAACACCATCACCACCCCCCCCCTCAATCCGCCCCCCTCCTCACCATCCTCACCTCCAGCCCCTCCTGCCTCGGAAACCAACTATTCACCACCCTCAACTCCTCCCCGGGCCGCACCAACTCGACCTCATACCCCAGCACCACCGTCGCCACCACCTTATACACCTGCATCAGCCCCAGATGCTTGCCAATACACATGCGGGACCCCGCCCCAAAACTCAAATCCGCATCATTCATCGCGCGCAGTCGCGCCGCAAACTCTCCCTCCCCTTTCCCTCTCCCCGTGCAGCCATCGCTTCCGGTCGGGAAGGCGTGCGCGTCGGCGCACCACACCCCGACGTTGCGGTTTGAGGATGTACGGGGTTTGAACGCGAGCACTGGTGCCTGGAGTGGAACGGGAGCGCGGTCGTCCGGGTCGACGCCCGCCGGGGGGTCACGTAGCGCTCGAAGGCCGATGGGCCACGCCCCGGGCAGGGTAGGCGGATGGTCTTCCCCGGACCGATGGCGTCCAAGGTATGGGTCAGGCCTGCCGGGCCTGGTTTAGTGCCATGACCGATTGGGAGGGAGGGATTTGCTGGGTTTG